GGTGTCTGGCCCCATTGCTAACCCATCTTCCCAACGCAGACGTCAACTGGGGCTCCTCCATGCAAGCCAGCTCGTACAACATGGCCCTCAACTACTCAGTGGGGCTGAGCGAAGTGGACGAGCACATCAAGAACTACAGGCAAGGGCAGCTCGGTGCGGTGCTGGTTGCGGAGGGAGGGGGATGCAGAGCCAGCCGCCACCGGATGGCTTCATGCCTAAGGCCACATCCTCGCTACCATCCTCAGTAACTGGGAGCCCCGGCAAAATGTGGCTGTCTCCAAAATCCCACATCTTTGTCAAGTGGGCAGAGGTGGAAAGCAAGGCAAACGTTGCCTTCCCCGTACTCAGCAGGCGCAGACGCATTTGTCCCATCTGATACAAAAAGACCAAAGAGAGAGGCTGGACCCTCAGCCACATGATTTTGTCTCATCCTAAAGCTGGTCTCTGTAGTTGCCGCTGGCCAGGCATGGGAGAAGAGATGCAGCTCGTTCCGGAGAGACTCGGTGCCTCCAAAGTACCAGCCTTCGCCCCCTTTTCTCTCCCTGCCTGCAGACCGCAGTGCCTGGTGCTGACCGGCCCTCCCAATTTCCGCCCGGCCCTGGTAGACTTCGTGGGGACGTTCACCAAGAATCTCAGCCTGATGCTCTGTGGCAACGTGCTGATCGTGAGTCACCCGCAAAAACCAGGTGGTTCCTTGTCCTGGGGGCTCCAGTCATCGGTGGGCAGTGGGCTGGGAAAGCCAGATGCATCCTGGTGGGCTCACGGGGTGGGGACTGAAATGCGCCCATTTATGTGCCGTCGGATGATGAAATGTTTTGTCTGGAAGCCTCTCCAGGTTGTTAAGCAATGATGAAGCGCCAGGACGTCCCTGTGGGCTAATGGCTTCCCCTTGCCAATTAATTGCCAAAGCAAAGATGCGGTAGGAGGAGGCGGTTGCTCAGAGGACAGGGTTGGTCCTGCAGCCCTCACGCCTCCAGAGCAGCTGGGACCCCGTGGCGCAGCAAACGCCAGCTGATCCGCAGCCTTGGGACTGCAGGCATCGTGTGCGTTGGCCGCCAACTCCCAAAAGTCGTTGGTTTTCTTGTTGCGATTGCAGCCTCCCATGTGTGCAGTGGTTACCTCCAGGTCTTGCCAATGATTTGGGAAGAGAAGAGGCTGGAGGTCCTTGGTGGCAAGCCCACCAGCTGGAAGGGGCTGCCCGTGCCTGAGCCCCTGCCCCTGCTCCCTGCAGGGACCGTGGAAGCAGAAGATGCCGGAGTCCTGGCTGACGGCAGATGGCCACACCAAATGGCTTCTGAAGAGGAAGATCAAAGCTTTCTACACGGACGTGGTGGCTGAGGATCTGAGAAGTGGCGTCCAAATGCTCATCCAGGTAGAGCCATCCTTGGCCATCGACCGTCAGGGTCCTTCCTCTTCCATCACAGCTCCGGGGGCTCTGGCTCTGCTCCCCGACCTCCAGGCACCCTCCCTTTGCATCACTCCACCTGTGTCCGTCGGTCCCTGCAGAGGGGTCTCATGGGGACATCTGTCCATAGGCTGCCGGCCTCGGGAAGATGAGACCCAACATCCTGGTGCTGGGCTACAAGAGGAACTGGCAGACGGCGTCCCCGCAGAGCCTGGAGGACTACGTGGGCATCCTGCAGTACGGCCACGCCAGCTCCTCTGCCCCCCGGGGACGCTAGTGCCTGGCGGTGGCCCTGCGGTTGGGTGCAGGGACGCTGTGACCACATGCGCAGGGTCCAGCTGGGCTGGCAGTGCCATCCGACACGAGCCGGCCACCTTTAACTGCCTTCTCCTCCCTCCTTCCAGCGACGCCTTTGATTTCAAGTATGGCGTGTGCTTAATGAGAATGAAGGAAGGGCTGAACGTTTCCCGAGTGCTGCAGGCTCACGGTAAATGGTTTTGGGCAGCCAGGGATGCTCAGAGACGTGCCGGAGCTGCAGGATGTGCCAACCGGCACCGTGTCCCCACGTGAAGGTCACAGTCCTGGCGGGACATCGCTCCTGGGCTGGGACCAAAGGGGATGGGGACAGCAGGGCACTGCCCTGCTGCCTGTGCTCTTCTCCTCCCTCCCCAGTTAACCCCATGTTCGAGGCAGCGGAGCACCCTGAGGAGAACGGCACCGGTGGCAGAGCAGCCGTGGGCACAGGTTGGTCCTTGCTCGGGGCTGCCCAGAGCATCCCTGGCTCCGAGGATTATTTTGGGGGAGCCAGGTTTGCAGGCAAGGGTGTGGGTTTCAAGCAGCGATGGGGAGCGGGGCGGGGACCAGGAGGAAGCGGTGCCTTTAATGCACGGCCAGTGGCGCCCATTGCCAATGCCGGGACCCTCTTGCCCCGGCAGTGGACCCCACTGCCTTGGCTGGCGAGCAGCAGGCGAGCACCATCTTCCAGAGCGAGCAGGGCAAGAAGACCATCGACATTTACTGGCTCTTCGATGACGGAGGTAACCTTCACCTTTGGCTGCTGCGGCTCTTTGCCATCCGTCTGTTGCCATCCGTCTGTCCAGCTAATGCAAACCCCAGCACCTCCATCGCGGTGCCCAAATGGTGCCAGGGCATCCCTGGTGTCAAGAAAGCACTGGCGAGCCCGTGGGGTCGCCGATGCCGTGTCTCCCATCGGGTGTTTTGGGGACAGGTCTCACGCTGCTCATCCCCTACCTCCTGGGACGCAAGAAGCGGTGGGGAAAGTGCAAAATCCGGGTGTTTGTCGGCGGGCAGATCAACAGGATGGACGAGGAGAGGAAGGCGTAAGTGCTGGCGGCCGCTCGCACCCCGCAGCCCCCCTTCTTAGCCACGCGACCGTCGCCGCTGTGCCCGTGGGTGGGTGGCAGGAGTTGCTTCCCCTCCCAAGGACCCCAGGCTCTGCCCTAACGGGATCTGTGGGCTCCGACCTGGCTGCTTTGCCTCAGTCCCCCAAAAAACAATGTGATTGCGGAGTGGCGAAAATCCCAAGTGCAAACCGAGGATGGCGGCAGGGGCTTCTGCCAGGGCAGGTTCCTGCT